CTTGTTTTCGCCAGCACCGCCACGGCCTCTGCAGGCCTGCCTGTAACTGAATAGCCTTCTTTTTGCCTGCTTGAAAGGCCTCGTTCACCTCCCCTGTTTTAGCTGAGCAGGCACATGTTGCTCGCTGCAAAATTCTTTACGTTTCGCTGTGTGTTTTCAGTTTGCGCACCGCCACTAGTCTTGGATATGGCCGGTGTTTCAACGAACTCACGCGATTTCATAGTTGCAACAAAATACAAACTAATCCGAAAAATTGGCTCTGGTTCGTTCGGCGACATTTACTTGGCCATAAATATCACCAATGGCGAGGAAGTTGCTGTTAAAATGGAATCGAACAAGGTATAACCACTCTTATCGCCTGCTTTTTTCTCTTTTTTGGAAGAGGGGGTACTGTCAAACTGCGCAAAATACCGATCCTGAAAAACCGCACCTCTCTGATCGGTGCCACAGTGGTGGGAGCACTGGTTGCGAAACATGAACGCTGTCGAAAACAGAACGAATGTTTCTGGCTGTAACTGGAAGAGCGATGCAGTAGAAATCACTTCCCGTCCAGTGAATGTACGGAATTGAAATAAAAAAAAATCGAATGCGCAAAAAAATGTTTGCTCGCCCTGTTGACAAACGGTGGATAGTGGGGCGGAGGGAAAATACTTTGGAAAAGATGGTGCACACGTACATTGGAGGAAAGCTGGGTAAAAACCGGAGGTGTGCAGCTCAAGAATGCATCTTAACATAGCATCTGGATTTCGCCGGCGTCGGAATTCTGCCTTGATAGCCTCAGCGATCCAAGGGCTTTTTGTAGTTATCTTACCGCTTCTTGTTTTATGAGAATTTTCTGGATGTTTATTGGAATATATGGCTTTCAGGCGCGTCATCCACAGCTTCTTTACGAGAGTAAAGTCTACAAGATCCTGCAAGGTGGCGTTGGCATACCGCACATTCGTTGGTAATTTTCAAAATTTCTTGATCATTTTTTTTTCAAAATTTCTTATCAGTTTTCTAGCCCAGCTCTTTCAAATATAATATCTCAGTTACGAGCTCTGACTGCTTTGCTCAGCAACAAAACTTTTAGGTATGGCACCGAAAGGGAGTACAATGTGCTAGTAATGGATTTGCTAGGACCTTCGCTGGAGGACCTGTTCAACTTTTGCAGTCGTCGTTTTACGATGAAAACCGTGCTGATGCTTGCTGATCAGATGATCGGCCGAATTGAATATATTCATGTGAAGAATTTCATTCATCGGGATATTAAGGCGAGTTTACAGTTTGTTTGAGATCACTGAGGTTCCTGCAAGCATACCTATTTCTCGTTGAGAGTTGCTGTGAAGATCTGGATTTTTAGATTAGCACATAAACAGAAAACATCCTCCAACAATTTTAGCTTTCTGCTTTGTCTGATTCCCCAACTAAAAATTCCCACTTCTACATGAAAGCTGGATCTGAAGAAACTTTAGGGAAAGCACGAACTTTCAGCTTTCCATCTTGCAGGTGCGCAAAGCAGAAATTTTGCGCCAAAACTCCTATTTATCCGCGCATAAGTGGAAACGGAATTTAAATTTTTGGTATCGCATATGGCTTGAAATATTTCCTTTAGCTTTTGTGATTCCCGAGATAATAATTTTGCCGCCATCGTCTTCACACATGAGATCCGAGTGTGTTTGAAAACGGGATTTAAATCTTAGGGTCGCACGTGGACAAGGAACATTTTCCTAGCCTCCTAGATAAATTACAGCTTCCGAGCCTACGTGATTTTCAAATTATTCCGGAATTCAAGTGCATATGGAGATGGAATTTACACTTCCGGGTTTCAGTTAGACGGGGAATGTGCCAATGCATAAAATTCTTAACTTTTATGTTTCTCGACTTGTAAATCGCCTGACAAAACGCACTCAAAGACACACAGACAGACAGGAGGTCGACAGTATGCAGTTTTGTGCATCTGCTACACAGAACAAAATGTATAAAAAGCAGAAAGATGAATATTCTCAACGAATGGCCATCAGCTCTTGCAAGTTCAGTCAATAAAACCGCAGAAAGATTGTCGTTTCATGGTGCCACAGAGATGCGTTGCTATAAAACGCGATTGCTGATGGGAGTACTATTTACGAAATATCTCCTAGTACTTTTGAATTTTAAACCGTTACTGTTTTGGTTCAGCCCAACCACTCATAACAGCCGAATAGCTCGATTTTTATCTTTGCATCTTTTGCTGCATTCGATAATTCGTCGTAATTTTAGCCGGACAATTTCATGATGGGAATTGGACGACACTGCAATAAGTTGTTCCTGATTGATTTTGGATTGGCGAAGAAATATCGCGATTCACGTACTCGAGCACATATACCGTATCGGGAAGACAAAGTCCTGCTTACGAGTTTTATTAAATTTCAACAGTTTTTAAGGCATTTGTGATTTTTTCGTTTTTAAAGCAAAAAAAATGTTGACGGAGGATCGTTTCAGAATCTGACCGGCACAGCACGGTACGCTTCTATCAATGCG